ATCAATGACTGAAACTTTTTTGATTCGCTAGTAACGATAAAATCAATGACTGACTTGTAAGGATACATTGAGCCTAGACTCGGTGTTATCCAATCGGCTACGTAATTCATTCCGCTCAGCTGTGACCATCTCCAATTGACTGACCTAGAGAAACTTTATGAACAAAAACTCACATACAAAGACGAATTTGAACTTACGATATTCTTGTACTCTCGTGTGTCCACTGACGATGACGGATGAGCTTTGCTACAAAGACGTAAGTAAACAGTTAATCTTTGTAAAAACAGCGATTCAGTGCAACTTACCTTTCTTGAGAGATCTTCGCTTTAAGAGCTTCGCGCTCTCTTTCCACGACTAACAACTTTTCCCTAGCCTGCTTATATTCCTGCTCATGTTCTTTCTCGCTCTTTTTCACTTCTTCTATCTCTTCTTCTAGCGCTGTTCTTTCTTTTTCCATCACATCCACAACTTTTTGCAGTCTTTCTGATTCTTGCTGATATCTGCAAAGAAGACAAAAATTTCCAAACATCACAGAAATTGTTAGTAACACACCTCTCAGCCTGCGCACCGTACTCGTCTACTGAATCGAGCAGACGTGCTTCGCTATCTTTGAGGAGACTATTCTGCACATTCTTCTCTTCGAGTTCCTGACGCATTTTGTTCAAATCCTCTTCGAGATGACGTTTCTGAGCTTTCAGCTCTTGCAGCTCATTCAGTAGTCTTTCATCGGCTTTCTGTAATAAATCAGGCTAATAACGAACAAAAAAGCCTTCAAGAAAAAAACTTGGAGAAGCTGAGACCAAAAAAAAACAGCAGTTAAAAAGCATGTTCCGTCAAACAAATGACTGTAGCACTCGGAAAACCATGAAAGAGAAAAAAAGGTTATGAAAAAAGAATAATAAATGGTTCTCAGAAAGTACAGTGATTCGTCTGCAAAGCCCGAAAACGCAAAAAGTATGAAGATTCTACCGACGACACACTGGCTGCAGCATGTAAGCGCAACTTGCTTGTTCCAGAATGTTCCCGAATTCGTTCATTCTGAATTTTGCTAGTAATGATAGTATGCGGGTCCATATGTGGCTTCAATCCAGCCAACATAAATTTTCCGATAATGCATTGCTTACTCGCTGATTTTCTGCGAACACTGTGCATACCTTCTCCTCCGCATTCTTCTCATCGATCTGTTTCATCAGTGTTTCCAATTGAGATTTGACCATTGCAAGACGTTCAGACAAGGAATCACGCTCGGCTTCAACCGTCTACAAGAAACACCTCTCTTGTATAGGATGATTACCGATTATGCCTGTCCTACTCACCAACAACAGAGCTTCCACATCCTCACACCTCTTCTTCACTTCTCCATACTTCTCTGTGAGTTCCGTGCTGTTCGCTTTCTGCAGCTGTAGTTCTGTTTTCAAGTCGTCGCACAATATCTTGCTCGCCATCAACTGTTCTTCAAGGCGAATCTTTTCATTTTCGGCGCTGTTCAAGTCATCCTGGATGCGCTGCTGTTCCTCACACAGCGTTTCCATCTCGTTTTCACTCCGATGATGTTCTGCTTCTTGGATTTCCGTTCGAGACGCTAGCATGGACTGCAGACGTTCTACTTCCACCATGAGACGGCTAATCTCAGCCTGTTTCTCTTCTGACTTCTCCGTTTCATTCAAAAGCTTCTCTTGAAGTTCATCGACCTGAATGTTTCATGATTAGAATCATCATCAATATATGTAGTGCACTACAAAACTTCAAAGGACCACTAGCAGACGAAACACCAACATTTTGCTGCCGAGGTATTTTGAAAGTTCTGCACCTCCATGTTTGAGTTCCTCATTTAGTCCAATTTCACTATATTGATGTACGAATAGCTGTTTCATTCTCACTTATCCCTAAGGCACTCCGCACAAAATCACATCAGTATGATAACAGTCCATGTGTTACAATGACAGAACAAATTCTTGGAGAAAATGAGTATTCTTCTGTCAAGACTTTTTGTACAAAAATGAGCAGCACAATTTAAATATTCTTTTGGTTAGAGCAATCATGCACTTATATTTCGATGATAAACGAATTTCATGGCGACCATACAGCATTTTTGTAACCCGAAAGAAACAGTACGTGATTTGAACTGACTTAAAGAGCTCAATTGAGCCCCAGTAGAGAGCATATGATCTCCGATTTATGCATTTTGGAAATTTGATAAGTCATGGAAATATGTAGCAAGTTGGAAGGGATTATGGTTCCCAAAAATAAAAACGCTAAAATCTCCTACGTGTAATAGAGATACGCAACGATGCACTGACATATGGGTAAAGTTATAGAATTAAACTCGCCTGTTCACGAAGT